TGTGTTTAATATTAAAATCGGGTACTCGAAAAAATGTTGTTTGCTATAGGGTACTCTAGATAGCAGTATTCAAGATTAAAATCATTTTCTGTGCGATAGTGTGCGTATAGTGCAAGTTAAAGACAGTATGTTTGTATTAGTAACTGTTAACCTAGCTAACATTTAATACAAATGTTTTTTCTAGAAAAAAAACTATCCGTAAAAGACTGTACGTATGAAGCTTTGACGTTAGGTAGTACTCACTTGCCCATTGTACACTGTGACGTTGACACCCAGAGATAATAGCTCATCTACCTGCAATAACAAAGTTAATAAACTATATATATTAGCTTGTTAGCACCAAAAATTACATATTGAGAGAATATAAGGAATTGTGTGTTGGCTTACCTCGTTTATTGCTGGCTTCATGAATTCGTTCTCCAGCGCGTTGAAAACAGCGACCGTCGCCAGTTGCCACCTGCAGTTTTATAGAGTATGATTATTGCAGCTCACTGTGATAAATTTGACTATGAAGAGACAATCGAATACTGTATCTAACTAGTTCACGCTCACGTACACGAGGTTGTTGGGGATGATCTTGAGCTTTTCCTTGATGACACCGTTCATGATGCCCTCGATCGTGTTGGGGCCAGACGACCCCGACAAGTCCTGCCCGACAAACCTCATCAACGGCGATCCACGGACTTCTTTTTGTTTGTCCTCTGCAGCTAGCACTCGCAGATCTACGCCGCTGGTGTTAAACAAGAAATTGAAAATATTCTGCAATAGCAAAACCATTAAACATTTGTTGGTATTTGTTATAATTAAGCACAAAAAACTGCTAAACTCATATATCTGCAGTTTAGTTTGCATTATGTTAATGCATGAGCAAATCGAGTATTATTAACGTGAGCACATAGAGAGAGAGAGAGAGATACTTACAACGCCGCCACTACTTTTGTCGATCAGATCGATAAGGCCCGTGAACGTCTGCAGTGAGGCGGCGAACTGCCCCGCCGCGGATTGCTCGCTCACCTTCTCTGCCAACCTAATGCGTAGAATGTGATTTGATTAGAGACGAGCTAGCTAGCCGTTCAGATTCATTCAGAAAAGCACTCCTATGCAAATGTTAATTAGTAGTAGGGGTAGCTTAGCTTACTTGTTGGCATCGTCGATGGCGTTTTCGTCGAGCCTCGACACGTCGTCCAGAAGCCGTGCGTACGTGAGCTGCAAGGGCGATTGATTCAACCAGTTTGAGTTCTGAATAATACAGTAGCAGCTAGCAAAGAGATAGATAGACGTGTGTGGTAGTGTTCTGGTGTTGGTATATTTGTTGCTCACCGAGAAATCCGTCGGCGAGATCCACCCATCCCTGATAACAACACCTGTGTGCCAGACAAGTGGAAGAAAATTGTTAGGCATGATAAATTGGCAATGAACATACACACAGCTAATCAGTTATATTGATACATCTTTGTTTGGTTAATCAGTGGTAGAGGCAGGTTAGCTCATGGGGTGTATACATCTGTACCTATAATTATTTTTCACCGATACCAAATCTACACTCACTGACTTGGCTTGCTACTGGGCTGTAATGGGCTGCATATTGGGCTGGCTGGCTGGGGAGCTGGGGAAGGCTATGTGTGGGGCTAGGCCAGACGAGTAGGATGTACTAGGCCACGAGGGTTTAGAAAAATCTGAAAAATATATGTGTACTAGTAATTCACTAAAAAAAATTCTTTAATGAGTAGGGCTCGGGCCCAAGCTACTTCAGGCTCACTATTAGTCTGTACACAAATACAAATATAGGATATCTTTACTGCTCTAATACTAGCTGTCCAAGGTAGTAAAAAAACTATCTATCTATCTATCTATCATTATTATTATATAGTAAAAAAATCTATTAAACATCCTACGAATGCTCTTATATCATCATGAAGCATACCTATAAACGATATTAAGCCACCACATGGCACATTAGTAAATTAGAGAAAATACTTAGAAAATATGAAAAAAAAGAGAGGAAAAACCTCACCCTTAATTTTCCCTTAAGTTGGAGAACCAACTATTTATTTGGATTTGGTCTAATGCATCAGGCATATAGTTTGATCCTTTCACCCGAGAAAAAAAAAAACATGCTTGCACACCGGGATGCTCGGGCTAGCACTTCAATTCGATTAGGTCAATTGATTGGCAGTACGTTCCTTTGTTTGAATTATTGGATGATTTTACAAATAGTGTACAAATAAGTATCTCAAACAATTTTTATTCCATGGTCAGTGACTTCCTCTGAATGACTTGAATATAATATTTGGTAATTAAATAACCAACAAATAAGTATGCTTTAAATCAAATCAAACATTTCACTTACGATAACGTTAAACAACCTCTAGAACGCTCTTACAAACTTCTCTCACCGCCTATAATAAATTAGCTTCCAAATTATAGACAGTCATATAAACTCTGAGAAGAAAAACAAAACAAAACATCTAGCACTATTTTTTTTTTAATCAAACCACTGCAGGGACGCCCCGCAATTAAAATATTATATTAAAAGAAAGGGAAAAATTACAGATTTTCATTCACTAATGTAAAACATAATTCTCGATCACAAGAAGGATTGAGCCTATACAAGAAAAGGAGAAGATCATTTGTTTTTTTTTTAAAAAAAAGACTCCATGAAGTTCAACTTAAATCCGTTATCCCATTATTTGTATCCATTGATTTGATGGTAAGTACAATCCACAAGGACAACCCCTGCTGCCCCCCTCTTCCATTCTTCTTGTCTAGGTGTATTGGTTGGATTTGATGAATGTGAGATAGTTGTCCCAATAATTTTGTCATATAGGTATTTTTGTGCTATATATTACAGTCCGAGTTCTAAGGGACATTAAAAGAATTGGAATATTCTACAATATCATAATTATGGATAAAAAACCTATGTAGCCTTAAATTAATTATGGTCTTTAGAGAGAGAAACATAGATCTGTAGTATCCAGCCACCAACGGTAACACTCAGTCAAAAAAAAAAAAAACTCAGCTATAAGTACAGTGTCTCGATCATCCTTCCCCCCCCCCCCCCCCCAACCCACATTTGTCTCACTTATATATCCCTATATATATTTGCCAATTGCCAAGTCACAATTGTCTATGCAATGCTAGCTAATGCATCACATTAACTATAAAGATATCAATCATCAATCCACTAATATAATATGCCTGCCATCAAATAGTAGCTAGATTAAGACAGAGGGAGAAATTAAGCCATATATCTCAGTAATGGGGTTGCCATCGAGCAATAAACAGATAATAAAAAGAGTAATTCTACGGTCCTTGAGGAGGTACCATGAGGTACCAAAAATTTAGTGTAAAATTTAGTACATCATGATACCTTATAGTACCTAGGTACCAAGAGGTAACAAATTTACAATAGAAAAAATGGTACCTCATGGTACCTCCTCAAGAACTGTAAAATTGCTCTAATAAGAAAGCCATCTATTAGTAATGTGTTGTGTTTAAGTGTGTGATAAACTTCACCTATTGGTCAAATGGTCATGTGTTTCATTATATTCAGTTTGATTAATTATAAACCATACTCTTGATAATTGGACTTCGCGTGACAAAAATTGGCTCTTGATAAATAAACTACAGTCTAATGCCCATTTAGCAACTTAACTTGTCTCCATGAATACATGTTGGGAGCTATAGGCATTGATCTTGGTGATTCTATAGAGAGAAACCATATTTCCACTGTCACGCAGCTTTAAAACTATACATCCGGTTGTCAAATCCTCCAAGAAACTAGAGAAAATTCTTAAAGTTCTTAGAATAATAAACTAAAAAAAATATAAACCTTAATTTGTCGCAGAAATCAGTAGGGCCCCTTATTTTTAGACACGCGAACACGTTCCTTATCCATCCATTGAAATCATTGTAAACCCTTTCTTTAATTTATTCTAAAATATACTTAGGAAGCAACTCTATATTTTTGCATGTCGCAGCAATACTTTTTCATAAATTCAGTAATCCACAGTGAGGGTTAACCTGCTTTGTGTTGGTTTCTACTTAGGCAATTGAAATATTCAACTAATTTAAGTTTGGTCCTTTGAACAAAATCATAAACAAATGTCCAAAGCAACCCAAAATTAGCAAATCGATCGTTTAACCAAGAAGTCCCATATAGGTTAATCTGTTTGGTGTTGGTTTCTACTTCCTTTTTGTCTGCTCTCTATATATGCATGTTTGCACTCAAATTAAACTTTGTTATTCTGCAAACAAACACAATTACTACCTCCGAGCGTGAGGTCGAGGTCGCCGGCATGGATGGACTTGGTGAGGGAGACGCCAATCATGGCAGCGAGCTTGCCGCCGTAGGACTCCCCGACGTGGTACAGCGGGCTACACTTCAGGGCGGGTATCTCGTCGGGTAGAGCCTTGATGTGAGCTCGGCGGCGTCCCTGGCCGCCTGCAAGTCCGTCGTCGCCAGCGCGCTCGGGTCGTCCGCGTAGCTGTAGCCGACGCCCACAGGATGATCCTGCATCATGCCCACCATCAAAGATACTATCAGCGAGCTGGCTGATCAAAGACCGATCGATCGAAGAAGAAACAACACAAGCAGGGAGAGGAGAGGCAGTGCTACTGCTGCCAGCCCGACCACGAATATGAGATCAGCCTTCTTCAGCCATGACGTGTTGCGCGGCTTCAGGTCGACGTCCAACGGCCCAATCTCCAAGAAGTTGCCGCGTCCAACGCCAGATCCTCCCTGCTCAACACGAAGACGACGACATGCATCATAAGGGCACGTACAACGGCATTAATTAGCCGGCTCTCTCCAGTGCCACATAGACAAATAAGATGACGTGGAAGAGAGATGATAGATGAGAGAGAAACAACGATGCTATCTGTGACATCGCCGAAGCATCGGCTCCTCTCGCGCAAAAAACGAGCAGAGTTGAGGAGAGCCCACCATTGTAGAATTGGTTTTTGCTGCAGAGCTGGGCCTCCAGATCCAATGTAAAAAAAGCGCGCGGAAGAAATTTGGCGCGGGTGAGGGATCGAGATACGGGAGGGCGGGAATCGGAGCAGAGATGCGCGCCATCCAATTTCTTCGATCCCCAAATATGACGCTGAAATCGGCAGATCGGGTTCCAGTCCAATACATCGCTGCTACGCTCCTCCACCTCACTGCAGCCTTGGATCGTCCACCTCGCCACCAACGTTTCCCCTCCACCTCGCCGCCGACGTTGCTCCTCAACCACTCGCTCCATCGGCGTTGACTGTATGGCTGGGAGACGGACAAAGGTGGCATCGGTGCCTGAGACATCCTCTGCCGGTACCAACACTTCCGGCTTCCGCTTCACCTCAACTGATACCCCCGCTGCCACTGGTACCTTCCCTCCCTATCTTGGAATACCTCCCTTCTCTGCATCTAGGATGAGCGCGGCTACGACCGGCAGCCATATTTCCCCATCTCCTTCATGGATGCAGACGGACAAAAGCTCACATAAAGCTACTACGTCGGATTTGTCGTCACCACATGCAAATATGCAGAGCTGGTAACCACAAATCCCAGCAATAATCTCTGCTATCTTATGAAGATTCAGTTCTGCAAGTTTTCTGTTCTCTGAATGAAATTATTAAACGGTTGCCATGTTCTAGACTTGATATATTTTCTGAAATACAATGAGTAAAGCAATCCAAGATTTTCTGAAATACATCGTTTAAAGCAGTCCAAATAAATTGACATATAAATATTGGTATATAATCCATAAGGTTACTGTTTGTTCAGATAGGTATATAAAGATTATGTTATTGTACATCTTTGGTCATGCTGAAACTGAAGAGACATATATTTCCAATGTTATGTTATTTCTCTGTACAAACTAAGGTTTCTATATTTTTTGGGAGTAGGCATTTGTTTTTACAGATTATGAGGTTGTTACATGTTGTTTCTTCATGTACGTGTGTGTTGTTTCTTATAGGTTTATCTTAATGATCAATTGGTTATGGCACTGAAATTGTGAGCTTCTTGCAGGGGAAATGGTACACACCCACCTGGAGGATTCATGAGTTTTTTTCACAATCAGCCAAATATATCTCAACATTACAATTTTGTCGGCGCGTCTTCGCACTACACACCATTACATGCTAATGGTTCTTCGCCACCGCTTGCTAATGGTGCTTCTATGCCGCTTGCGACACCCACTCCACCCCCACTTACTGGGAACCAGGACCATGTCAATGTTGATAGTGATGATGACACTGCGGTCGCTCGGACCAAATTGAAGCTAAATTGGACCCAAGAGGAGGATGTCAGACCAGTGAGAATGATGCAAATTTTACTTGATTCGCATTGTGAATCTGTGTGCATAATTACACTTTCTTTTGTTATCTTTGTAGATGAGCGCTTGGTTGAACAATTCAATGGACCTAATTAATGGGAATGATAAGAAGGCTGAAAAATATTGGGGAGATGTTGCTACAGAATACAATAAAACCACACCACAGAATAGATGGAGAAGCCCAAAGCAAGCCAAGGAGCGGTGGCACAAACTCAACACTCGGACGGATCTGTTCCAAGGCTGTTGGTTGAAGGCTAAGCGCACATATACTAGTGGTTACTCTGAACTAAATGTGGATTGACATGGCCCATAAGTTCTATGAGGCTGATAAGAAAAAATTAGGACGGTTCGTCCTAATAGATGTATGGTACGCATGCTGTGATCAGCCTAAGTGGAATGCATATAATGATGCACTCAAGAGAGATCGTAAAAGGAAGTCGTCTGATAACAGAGAGATGCTTGGGCAAGCATCAGGACCTTCAGATGTTGAAGAAACCCCATGGCCAATCGGACAAAAGGCTGCTAAAAGGGCTGCACGTGAAAGCATGGGAAAGTTGAACGATATTTCTGATGCTGAAGAGATAGACAAGTTAGACCAAGTCCAATCTGATATTCACACAAGATGCATGAAGATGATGGAAATGCAAGAAGTTATCTACTCGTCAGGTTCAATCATCAAAGCTTTCTCAACTTGCTGCACGGGAAAATAGATTAGTTGCAAAGGAAAATAAGGATGCCAAGATGTTCGAGACCTATAGTTGTCTACTCGCACAGGACACAACTGGGATGGCTGATGACATTAGAGCCGAGCATGTCACTGCCATAAGGTGTTTGAGGAAGATCTTGTTTCCGGACTTATCTTGAGGTTAGTTAATAATTTACTGGAAATGATTTAATTGATTATGACCTAGATTACATATTAATCTACATATCATGTGACCTGAAATGTGATTTGATTATATATGATTTCATTGAACCTGAAATGTGGGCATGTTCTAGATGATATCTCTTCAAGTTGCTGAAATGATAATATAGGCTATAATGTTAATAGCTTGCTGTATGGAGCAGTGTTTCTTTAAGCTTGCTATAGGACTGTTATTCTATTCCCTATTATGTAGAAGTAATATTGAGCTCCGTGTCTTCAAAATTATTGCCTAAGTGGACACTTTGGCAGACAACAAAACAAGCTCCAATTCTGACTTTAAGATCAGTATCCGAAATTGAGCAGTGATTCAATCTGAAATTTGTGATTGTTGGGCATGTTTATCTTTTGAATTTGAATAGTATATATTGATATATTATCTCACTGAAGCTGAATCTGAAAATTTATATTTATGTAACTGAATCTATTTTTTTAGTATGTCAGGTAATAATATCTGGAAGATCTGTTCAATGTGGATCACATCTATGCCATTGGAAGAATGCAATGTGATTTGCTGCTGCACATGCAACTGGTCGATCTCATTGCCAAGCAAGGATAATTTACTTCCTAGTTATATGAACATGTAATAATTCACTTTGTTGCTATCTGAACATGTCACCTGGACCATGATATTCATTGCCATGTGATTTTTATATCTTTTACCTTGCCTCAAATAATGATACATGTTCCTATTCTAATATAAATGATGATTTTGTTTCCTTTATTGTGTGAACATGCTATCTGCATATCTGTATACATGTGGTTTAAAATTAGAACGATAGAACCAGTACATGTCGAGTCCAACAAACAAGTCCAATCTTCTACATTGTCAGACCATACGATGTCTCCCAATAATATCGACCACCTCGATGATGATGTCGTCGTCGACGCTGACCTTGCCATTGAGGATGATGCTGTCATCGACCTCGACCTCGACGATGATGCCGCCGTCGACGCCGACATCGACCTCGACCTCGACCTCGACGATGATGCCGTCGTCGACCTCGACCTCGACCTCGACGATGATGCCGCCATCGACCTTGACAACTTTCATCCTATGAATATATACAGCATGGATGACTTTATAGCTGAAGCAACCTTTTTGGATGAATATAGTGAACAGATTATTCTCAGGTTGAAGGAGAACATAACATCTGAGCCACCTCGTCGTCTACATCAAAGTGGTACAAGACGGTATATACCAAGAAACCGTGAAGCTAGCAATGCGGATCTTGTGGCCAACTACTTCTCCGAGTCTCCAATCTACACAGATAAGATGTTCCGTAGGAGGTTTCGGATGAGGAAGCCTCTCTTCCTACGAATTGTGAGTGCCCTTAGTGAATGGTCTCCTTATTTTACTAATAGATTGGATGCCACTGGTAGAGCAGGACATTCACCACTTCAAAAGTGTACGGCTGCTATTCGTATGCTAGCATATGGAACTCCTGCGGATCAACTTGATGAGGTATTAAAGATTGGTCCTAATACAGCTTTGGAGTGTTTGGGAAAATTCGCTGAAGGAGTCATTGAAATATTTCGCAAAGAGTACTTACGAGCTCCTAGGAGTGATGAGGTTGAAAGATTGCTACAGGTTGCTGACTCACGTGGTTTTCCTGGCATGTTAGGAAATATAGATTGTATGCATTGGGCATGGAAAAATTGCCCGGTCTCATGGTGTGGCCAATTTACTCGTGGTGACAAGGGAGTTCCTACCATGATTCTTGAAGCGGTAGCATCGAAAGACCTTCGCATATGGCATGATTTTTTTGCTACTGCAGGATCCAATAATGACATCAATGTGTTAAACAAGTCACCCTTGTTCATTGAAGCATTGAGAGGGGAAGCTCCTCGTGTACAGTTTAGTGTAAATGGGAACCAATATAACACATGGTACTATCTTGCTGATGGAATTTATCCAGAGTGGGCGACATTCGTGAAGACAATACAGCTTCCTCAAACAGACGAACATAAATTATATGCAGCTCGTGAAGAAGGAACAAGGAAGGATGTTGAGCGAGCCTTCGGTGTGTTGCAGTCTCGCTTTAACATCGTTTGTCGTCTAGCTCGGATGTGGAGGCAGGGCGATGTTATCAATATAATGGAAGCTTGTGTTATTCTTCGCAATATGATAGTTGAAGATGAACAGGAAATGGCTGAAATTCCTTTGGATTTAAATGAGAACCCAGGAGCATCGTTCGTTCTACCACCTGAAGTGAGGAACTCATCTGACCCCAACCCTTGCTTTGCTGCGGTATTACGAAGAAATTCATCTATTCGTGATCGTGCGAAACATATGCAACTCAAGAAAGATTTAGTTGCACATATATGGCAGCGTTTTGGGAAAAAGTAGAACTACTTTATGTAATGAAATAATGTAATTTAGCTTATCATTTGATTAAATAATAATTTCGGATGTGTGTGCTGGTAGGATGCACATCGTCTTCTTTTATATGGTTATGATAGCACGATGTAGCGTTAGTTCTATAGAGAAGAAATACAAATATATGTGCTGCTGAAATTTACATTTGATTACATGCAATGAATTTATTAGCTATTTATTACCTTGTATTAATAGAGAGTTGGTTAAAGAGACAGTTCTTTGTAGGTAGGAGTTTCTTCGCTGATGTGGAGTATAGAGAGAGACCACACCGAGCTCTACCTTTGAACATGCCCTAATTACTCTCTGCAAACAGCTGAAACGAAATGCAAACTACAAGCTAGCTACACCCTCCGTCCCTAAATATTTAACGCCGTTGACATTTTTAAATGTGTTTGACCGCTCGCCTTATTAAAAAAAATTAAGTAATTATTAATTCTTTTTCTACCATTTGATTTATCGTTAAATATATTTTTATGTATACATATAGTTTTATATATTTCACAAAAGTTTTTAAATAAGATAAATGGTTAAACATGTTTAAAAAAATTAACGGCGTCAAATATTTAGAGACAGAGGGAGTACTTAGTTAGAGCTAAGAAGCAGTACGTACCGGGCCGCCCTGAAGCCAGAGGATGGTCGGCCATGGCTTCCCCGGCGACGACGCACGATGCGGGCTCCTGTAGTACCACCAGAACAGGTGCGCCTCTGCAAACGCAATAGAGGAGTTAGGAGAGAGTGAGAGAGCTAGGAACGTGACGGTTTACGGAATGGAAGAAACCGGTCGATCGCGCGCGTACTCGGCCGGACTTGGACGTATCCCCAGCGCTCGGAGCCGTCGTTGGTCCCGCCGGAGATGGCAGCGACGCCGCCGCCGCTAAGCTGGAGCAGGGTGAGGACGCAGAGAGCAAGCGTCGCCATTCTCAGAGACTTGGGGGCTGATGGCGCGTGTGAGAGCGAGCTCGTGGCGTCGTCCATTGTCCATCCAGAGGTATAAGTAGGCTGTAAGAGTTGAGCTGATTAGCGTGTGTGTGAGTTTGAGCGAGCTCGTGGCAAAAGGGCACAGTACCATTACCATTCCCTGAAAAGTTTCTCCTTGTTAGTTAATTAACCTGGACGTGTATGTTTGAAAAGGACACAGTGCCGGCATCACACCGCACCGTTATAACTAAACATTTTGGGATTTAAATCCTTAACACTCATGTGATGTTTGAGCTATAAATGTCCAAGTTTTATGATTAGATTGACATTAAACCTAGTCTCTCCGTCCTAGAATATAAGAAGTTATAGGGTTGGATACGGTTATTAAGAAAGTAGGTAGAAGTGAGTGATGTAGGGTTGTGATTGGATAAGTAGTGAAGATAGGTGGGAAAAGTAAATGGTGGAGGGTTATGATTGGTTGGAAAGAGAATGTTGGTGGAGAAGTTGTTATATTTTGAGACAAATCTTGAGAGCTAAAAGTTGTTATATTTTGAAACAAAGGGAGTATATTTTTATGATAACTTTGTTACGACCTATAGTTTTGTTAGGGATGGCAATTTTGCCCATGAGTCTGGTTATCCGTGGATACCCGACCCAATGGGTATAGACGTGGGTGTGATTTTTTATCTGTGGACACGTCCGCCCGAAACCCGTAGATATCATGGGCAACAACTGGGTTTCATTTTTTGCCTGTGGGTAACCCATGCCCAATCCGATACATATGTATTAGCTAATTTCGACTTATCTCTTCATTCTTATATCCCTTTCTCTTAGCTCATTTGTGATACTAACTAATAATAAGTTATGATGTAATTCAAATTAGTGTTGATAACTAATAATTTGGTAAATTGTTAATTTTATTTCTCTTTGTTAAATTATATATCTTTCGAATTATTATTCATGTGAGATCTATTGGGTACCCGTCGATATACCCGTGCCTGTCGAGCATGGGTACGGGCACAGAGTTTTGCCCGCTAACCCTAGTGGATAGGGTTTGGGCGGGCGACGACGGGCATGGGTTCAGGCATGGTTTTGCTCTACCCATGCCCGACCCGACCCGTTGCCATCTCTAAGTTTTGTGGCACTCCATTTTAAATATGCAGTTCTATGAAAAATTTAGTGTTAAATATATAGTTTTGTGATACATTATTTTAAGAAATGTGCTTCTATGCTAAGCCTACTCATGAAAAAAATCGCACGAATGTTAAAATGGTGAATGTTCTAGATTAAAAGGTGATTAACAGACTAAACGTTATTAGGAAGGGCAATTTCATCGTTGAGGTAGTTACCGCGGCCGTATCGCGGGCATTCAATCTTGAGTTCTTGACGCAGCGTCCCGCGAGCCTGTTGCCGCATTCGATCACAAGTACAAGAGAAGAAAAGAAGGCGCTCAATGATTCCAAAACAGCAATCATATCATCCTCTGTTGCTGATACACATGTGTAGCACCTCAATCCGCCGTTTGATTTTTTTTTTAATACGCAAGCAGCGCATCATTTTATTAAGAGGAGTAAAGTTTATATACAAAGGAACCAAAAGCGAAAAAAAACAAGAAGGGAACAGGGTACAGGAGATTGAAAG